CCCAAAGTTTGGGCTTTATAACATTTTAAAGGGGTCAGAGAAAACTGCATTATCCTAGACATTATTTTGCTGCCTTACCTTCAAAGATGCACTTCTACCTTTTTTATTTCACAAGGTTTCTTTTGTTACTAAAATCCAAGAGTTGAGTAAGAAGATAGTTATAATGCTTATCATTTCCTTCACCCTTCAGTGCACTCGCTGAAGAAAGAAGATAAATGAAGCATTGACAGGGTATTGCACCCCCACAGGGCCTACCCTTGTAAGAGATAATGCTGGGAATTAAAAGCAGTCAACAGTGGTCTTTCTGCTTTGACTGAGCTCCCAAAAAAGAAACTTTCAGAGGGAGAAATATTTCTGCACAGATTGCAAGCCTCACATTCAGTGCCACCTGAAAACCAAAGCGAGCAAGACACGTAACACCGAAATGAAGTAGCTCTTTAAAAAAGAAAGTATCTTGCAATGCTTTTTGGGCAGTAGTTAGTGAGTTATGGAAAGAAAAGCCACTAGAATAAGAAGGGTTTTTCTTGTATTGTTCATGCATTCTAGCACCCATTTAATAAGATATTACCAGGAAAAACAACATAGCATCTTTCTGGAAAGGCTAATCATCTGCTCCTGCTGCCCATGCCACAGAATTGCTGCTGATCCGGGTTCCATTATGTCATCCCCGCAATACCCCTGCCCCTGCACTCACAGGCCTCACATCTCCTGCTCCTCCACTCACGTTGCCTTCTCTGCTCCTTCTGACCACAGGAAACAGTTCTCATTTATGACTTTCTGAGAATTAGCAGTTGCTAAAACCTCTTCGGTATTTATGATAAGTGTTGGTATCTATAGGATTCGATTGACTCACTCAGCAGCCCTTTGCTCTCTCGTGGTAATTGCCTTCCGCCCACACTCTCTACCTTCCCAGATTTGAGCTCGTTTCTCTTTCTCTCTCTCTGTCCCTCCCTGTGACTCACCCTCACTGCCTGGAAGTCCTGAGCACACATTGGCAGCTCCAGAGATTGTGTTACCTCTCCCCAAACTGCTGCCAAACCCCTTCCCTGTGTCAGAAAACATCTTTGCTCTGCTCCCCCCTCACCTGTACCTTCATAGCCCAAAACAAAGGCTGAGAAGCTGTTTTGCCTCAGGAACAGCAGTGGGTTGGTTTAAGTCTCCCCTGTACCAGGGAGGGTCAGGTTGGATCTCAGGGAAAGGTTCTTCCCCAGAGGGTGGTTGGGCACTGCCCAGGCTCCCCAGGGCAGTGGGCACAGCCCCAAGGCTGCCAGAGCTCCAGGAGGGTTTGGACAACGCTCTCAGGAACAGGGTGGGACTGTTGGGGTTGTCTGTGCAGGGGCAGGGGTTGGACTCGATGATCCCTGTGGTCCCTTCCAGCTCGGGATTTGATTCCCTATCCCACTTTCAAGGAACTGTTGCTATCTGCCAATGTTGTTACCCTTCTTAGTCCAGCAGCCTGAAGAAGGATGTCACTACTGCAGCACTTCCACACTATTTCAATTTATGAAGGGCTTTTATAGCTCCAGGTCAGCCACCCAAAAATCCATGCAGCACAGAGACCGACATTCCTGCATTTTCCCTGATACTGCTTGGGTTCCTTGTGTGTGATGGGATCACAGGCACAGAGCAGAGTTTGGTCCTCTGCCTCTTTGGCATCCCAATTGCTCTCTTCTAACTCTTGCATCCCAGCACTCAGGCAGCCAGGCTAGGTCTAAATGATTTTGCTGGGAATTAAACAAAGATTTTTCACAGAATCATAGAATACCCTGATAGACTTCTTCCCTGGCCCCTGTTTCCTGTGCTGTTCAGTGCTGCCAGATGTGCCTGAGGGAAGCAACCATGTGCCCCGGGTTCCCTGTACCATCCAGGAAAGAGCCAGCCACCTCCCAGGATGATTCAGGACGGAGGTGGATTGAACCTCCCATGGACCTGCCCGTGTCTCCATTAACTACAGGAGGCACCCAGGGAGACCAGACTCCTCACTTGGGAACCTCTCCTCATTGCCTACATTTGGTTGCATTAATCCACCTCTGCGTGTTGCTGCAGATAAACATTCAGATGGATTGCAACACGTCGCTGCCTTTCACGTCTTTGTGTCTCTCTTTGTTCACCTCTAATCGTGGGGCAATTGCGGTTTCCGCAGAGCGAACTTTTCAAAGGAAGAATCCGACACACAAATATGTATTCCAGTTGACTTGGAAAACAGCTCTGGATTTTTAACACTGAGGCCAATTTTCTGCCACTGCACAGCGAGTCATCTCTGAGGAGCCACTCTGGTATGCCCTGGCTTTAGCAGGAGCTGCCAAACCCAAGCAGCAATATCTGCTGTGCTCCAGGGCCACGCGGGAACCGCTCCCCGTGCCTTATCAGCCTCTCCTGGGCTGGATCCAAAGCTGAGTGAAAGCAGCAGGAGCCTTTCCACTAGATTAATTGCACTGGGAGCCAGTACTCATAGCAAAAAGAGTACTTTACATGTTCATGAGGACATGACAGACAGGTGGGGTTTGGATGTTCCATGGAAAAGGGGTCTGAGCTATGACCAGACTGAGGTGCCAGTTCTCCACAGATCAGGGTCCCTATGGCTCCACAGTCTCTGGTGTCCATGCCTTTCAATGCTGGTGGATTGCACTAATCTTCCTTTCCTAGGCTGGGGATGACTTGTCATACATGGTGTTTCACAAGTGAAGATAAGAGCCTTTTCCAACCCTAAGCTCCTCTCTATCTGCTCCATGCAGCATTCTGCATTTGAATAACAGAGCTGTCAAGTAATCTCAGACTTGCACTCCCATTTATGGCTAAGCTTTTCATTTTTATGCAATTAGCAGAAGTGGTAGCATTTATTTACATTCAAGGGAGACTATTCCCTCTTCCTCCCTCCCACTGCAACCTCTACACACTCCCCTTCCATCAGCTGTGTCTCAAACTAGGAGGGAACTGGAGTAATCTGACTCACACCATTAAAGCAAATGATTGTATCAAACAAAGGTGACCTGAGCCAAAGTCCATTTAAGTCTACAAGTCTCTGGGGATTCCAGAGATACTACTGTTCTCACTGGCAATAAGTATAACAGGAAACCAGGGTTGGTACCTGCACTCATGACTGTTATCCCAGTGTCCCTGTCCTGTGCAGGGCCTCGCCTGTGCACAGCTTTTCCCCTTGCCTTCCCTGCTGGACCAGGGCATGGGTGGTGGTTGATGAGCCCCAGAGGTGCTGGTGACTGACACTGCTAGAAGATAGTTTGTGTGGGCAGCTGCAGAGCCCAGCTTAAAATAAATACATAGCAGATGTTAGAATGGCAGTGAACGGGACAGGGCAATGCTGGGGTTGGAGTGGCCATCCCTGGAGCAGAGCTGGAGGAGACCACGAGTACTGGGTCACACCACACCTCTGTGTACAGGGTGGTGAGGTGGCTGGGGGCACCTCTGTGAGAAGAGGCAGGAGAAAGGGAACCAGGCTGTATGCACAGCCAGGGAATGTGTCTGTCTTTAGCTGGATGTACAGGTAAAAGCACACACGAGAGCAAAGGAATGCTCTTATTACCTTCAGTAACATTTTGTCAGTGCTAAGGATGGCATCAGAGGCAGATAATGAAATCCATCCAGCACCCAAATTTTCCAAAGAAAATGTCCAGCACAGAACAGTCTGACTTCCTAAAGAGCTCATATGTCCTTTGGACATTACGTGACATTACACATTCACATGTTCCCTGTTTTGCCCCTCTCAACTTTGATGGTGTCAGGCAGATTCCCCAGAGAGGTCTGAGCTCCTGCGTTAAAGGCAGCTCTGAAAAAACAACACAAACTCTCCAAGCAAAAGTCTCAAAGCAAAGGGACAAACTAAACATCCCTGGTCAGGAAAAAAATGTAACTGAAAACAGTCTGGTGAAGCAACTGCCCACCCAGGGGAGCAGGCTGTGACCAAAGCACACACGTCACCAGCGGCTGCTGGTGGCACTCAGCCCTTCAGTACTCACCCCATGGAGCACACAGGCTTTGGACATGCTCAAAAGTGTGTGTGGAAGGTTTTAAACATGAGTATGCTCCCACTGAGTTCAAACTAGAGCCAGTGGGATACTCCCAGACTCAAGCATTTTGGTGAAATTAGGCCACAAAACGCCAGGCAGCCTCCTGCTGAGCCAAGCTAGGCTGGAACCCAGCACAGGAGAGTGCTGTGCTCAGCACAGACACTGGTGTCCCTCAGCCTGGGGGGATATCAGCTGGTGAGCTGCAGAAATCCTCCTGCCTTACTGATCCTGCACCTCTCCTGCTCTCAGCACATTAGCCCAGGCTTGCTGGAGCCACTTCTGAAGCCCCAAAGCCAAGCAGCAGTTAGGAAACCACTAGCACATACGTAAACATATTTCCCCAGAAGCGGCATCTCCTACGTCAGGCAGGGCAGCCAGCCTTGGGTGACTGACAGGCTTCATGCATAGTGTCTCCCAAGTCATTTATGCTGTGCCCCTGAGGAGCTAGGAATTGTCTTCTGTGCATTTCTAGGCCTTATAGGATCACACTGACTCTGGGGCAATCCACACTTTCATGTAGGTAGTGGCCTGAGGTTGCCTAAGAAGTGCCCCTGGCCCAACACATTCTCATTTGCCCCATGGTCTGTAGCTTAGGAGAATTGGAAAAATACAATTGCATTTTTTCCTGCTTGCAAATAACTCCACTAGGTAACAAAATATCCCGTCCAGCTCTGGGACAAAAGTGGGAGGACGTGCTCACAGGTTCCTTTAGGTTGGAAAAGACCTCCCAGGTCATCAAGTCCCCCCTTTGCCCGATCCCCACCTTGTCCCCCAGCCCAGAGCACTGAGTGACATGTCCAGTCCTTCCTTGGACACCTCCAGGGGTGGAGACTCCACCACCTCCCTGGACAGCCCCTTCCAATGCCCCTTCTATGAAGAAATTCTTCCTGATGTCCATCCTGAACCTCCCTTGGCACAGCTTGAGGACCTCTTGTCCTGTCAAACTGATGTTGAACTTTGGTTTCCATATCTACATCAAGTTCCAAGTCATCAGGGCAGTGCCAACCAAAAGGATTTTGCACAACTGGGCACTTTCACACCTCCACAGTGCCAGTGCTGTATTACAGACAAGACCCTGAGCTGTCAGGATTAAAGACATTTGGCTTCAGAGGGAGGTGGGTGTGACCAGCAGTAAAAATAATGTTATATAACTCTCAGGTATTTCCAGGATAAACCCTTTTTCTGTACAGGGCATCCCAGGAGAAAAGTGAAGGCAGGTACCTCTGAGCATCATTCCAGCTGCAATCCATCCCAGCACACAGGAGCACCCACAGGGTCTCCTTTTGCCACGTGTGGGGCTCCAGGAAAGCCATCCCTGGAATACATGATGACAGAGGCAACAAGGCTTTGCTGCCAGCAGCTCACACACACCCAGCAGCACTGTACCCACGGGCTGGCAGGCTCTCCCACAGACAGAACCGGGGCCAGCTGCACCAACATGTCCCCGCTTGCTGCCGGAGCCGCAGCCCCGCTCCCATCCCGCGGCTCCGGAACGAGCTCCTCAGCCCTTCCACACACAGACCCCTGTGAGCTCGCTGCTCCCCTCAGCCTGCCAGGAGCCTGGAGCCTCAGCTCCCAGAAATGTGAGCTGTGCCACAGATCTGCTTTTCCTGAAATCTCTGGAATGGCAGTCAGTGTGCCTGCTCATTTCACTCCTGACAGTGTGACCAGGAGCTCTTAGGAGATTTGCTTATGGGTCACTTTGGGATGAAATAGCATCTGAAAAGGATGCAGCAGGGAGAAGGTTCCTCAGAGCCATTGCTGATATGGGACTTATGGAAGGAATTCAAGTTCTGCACCTTTGCATAACAGTCCTACTCCGCCTCCTGTCTAGAAGATATCCTAAGGGCTCAAGCCACCAAAACCCCTTCCTATGGAAGCTGCCCAAGCTCCAGAACTTTCAGATCCTTGTGTCCAAATCTCTACTTCTCCTCTGACCTCCTTTTGCATTAAGGAAGCACAGGGAAAGGATTCATGCTGCAACACAAAATGCCATGCTTTTTATATCAGAACATATAAATGCACAAAAGAAGGTTTTAAACAGCGCAAGAGGTCATGCCCACCAGATGTCTTGCGTGGCTTCAAAGATATAATTTCACTGCAATATTACCGTGGCACGTTTTGCTGGTGCAGGTAAAGGCCAGATGAGCAGAGCTCCATTTCTTTTCTCCCTCATAAAACTCAAACTTGTTTCCAAAGTCACAGCTTTAATGAGACTGGAGATTTTGAAGTGTTCAAGTTAGTCCTTGAAGCTAGTCCAGCCCCAGAGGTGGTGCAACACAGACATGACAGCACTAACGAGGATGCATTAGGATCTTAAAGAAAGAGGGGTACACAAGAGGTGAGTATCACTCAGGGTTACACAAGTGTCATTCTGACATTTCTTTCCCCCATTACCCCACAGGACCTTTAGCAGCACAGCCCAGCACTTTCCTGTCTGGCCAAAGGTGCCAGCATACCGACGGATGTTTTTTGAGAATTCCCTGCTCCTCAGTAGTTAAATTTTTGTCCTTTGCAATTTCCAGATTTCTGACAGAACTGCTAGTGACAGTTGTAATAATATTCTGCAAAATGTTGTGGTGGTGATTCTTTGAATGCCTTTGTGGTTTGCTGTCCAGAGTTATAATAACCTATGTTTGCCCAGATATGTGTTCTCAGCTTGGAAGCACTGGAGCCAGCATTTACTCTCCTGCCTGGGCGACTGCACATGTGTGCCTGCATGTGCTGCTGAACATGTGAGCTAGCTCCAGGTGTTTGCCAAGTGCTTCCTGGTCCCTGGGAGGTACAATTTGGGATTCGCATCTCAGGGAAGGCGTGGGACTTATAGTTTATTCCAAATAGTAGAATCCACCAATGGGAATCATAGCTGGTTTCTGAGCCTCCTCTCAGTTTCATGTGTTTATCTATCAGTTCTTTCCTTCCTTAATCATTTTATCTTGGAAAAAATACTGGAGGGAATAGAGGAGAGGGAGAAAAAGTTTGTATGACAAGAGAGTGAAACTGGCACAGCTACACCGAGATTAGTTTGATAAGAGAGCTCACGTCAGATGCCAGCCTTGCTCTGTTCATCTCCAGGAGCTTATCTGAGGTCCTGAGAAAGATGAGATACAGTAGCCAGTTTATGTTAACCTTTGCTTGGTCTCAGGTCTACACATACAGGTCCTTAGTGAAAACTGCTGAGTGAAACACTGAGAAATCAGGCTTGGATACATTGAAATCATATATCTGTGTATGAGGCACCAATCCCGACCCAAACTGTGCAACTTTGGAAAGACAACTCTAAGCAAAGCTCAAAAGAAGATCCCCAAACCACTCATAAAGTACGTTCTCTGAAGTCTTTCTGTACCTTATAAAACCTTTATACGTCTTTGTGTCCACGAAGAAAACAAGAGGAGAGATGTGAGATATGCGTGGTACTGGGCTTACTTTTATATAAAGAAAGATATACCCCAAAAATACTTTACAAATAATAAACTAGACCCTGGTAGTGCATGGATGCTATAAAAGCCACGGTTTCTATTCTGTGCCAAGCAAAGGCTCCTATATATATTTTTAAAACTGGATCTCAGTCAGCTGAAATATTGAAAAGAGTTAGTTCTAAAGATGGCAAGAAAAGAGCTGAATTTAATTTGGGAAGAAAATCCCGCATGGTTTGGCTGCACACAAACAATGCTATACCCCCTGAAAGCTTGGCTTTTGAAATGAATTCATGCTCTAGAGGAAGGAAAAGCTGAGCATACCCTCAGCAGTGACTGTCTGAGCTCAGCCTCACACACAGCATTACACAGCACTGGCTGTCACCGATGAATTGCAATATTATGGATTGCCATTGCACACTGGTTGTGGACTCTCGGGCCAAACAGCACTTTTACCCCATACTCACGAATTAAATCCTGTAAAGACAGCCTTTAATCCCTGTCCCTTTGGACCATTAGTATTACACTATTTCTGAATCTCTAAACTTTGCGCCCACGTAAGTCTTTCTGTTTTGGGGATGGTGGCATGTTGGGATCCTAAATAGCAAAATTTCCCTTAGGACAATTCAAGAGCCTCATCAGAGACCTCAAAATCCTGCAACTGTAGAGCTAAGCACAATTTATGTGGAGCAGCCATGCAGAAAATCTTCTTCCAAAGCCAGATTCTCAGTACTGATGTAAACTGCGCTTTGTCTCTTGCCTCCTTTACATTCCCTCTCCCGCACCCCCTCAAAGAGGGGATCACCCTCTGCTGAAACCAGCCAGCTCTGGGCTGTGCTCTGTGCTTTGTGGTGCCTCTCCCCAGCCAGGGATGGGCAGTCACACCCTGCCTGGGCACACACTGGGTCCACAGCGTGTGGCTGTGTCTGGGCACAGCACGGTGTCCTGGGTAGCTCTGCTTCTGATCGCGCTTACTGACACTGCACTCGCCTCCTGGCTCCAGAGGATGCTGCTCTCCAGGCTCTGACCTCGTGCTGAGCGCCAAAGAAGCTGCTCTCAGATCATTAAGCTTCTGACCAAGTGATAGCTTGGACCAACAGGACAGGTTGAACTGCGATGCAGGTCAATGCTGAACCTCCCGAGAGCTGCCTCCGTCTGTGGAACCATCCTAAAGCCTGTTTCATTCTCCAGCTCCCTCTTTTCCAGGCTTCCATGACTTCTCACCTTCTTCCTTGCAGTTGTCAGGACCCTTCCCCTCCTCACCTTCCCAATGGGCTTTTCCACTCCCCTCTTCTCTCCATTCCCTTCTCCCTGGGGAACACACGGGCCCTTCCCTGGTTGTCCTTGCCTTGCCACTCATCGCTCCTCATCACCTCCCTCCTGAAAACTCCTGGGACCTGAAGCTTGGTCTTCACACACAGCCAAAGGCTGAAAGGAAAAACCTGACTGACTTACATAAACTCACGTGTCTCAGACTTAGATTTCTCTGACACTGTACATTTTCAGCTCACTTTTTATGGGCTTTTGGAAGTGAAAAAGTAAAATTGAGAGCTGTCACCCAAATTTAGAGCTTGGTTTAGGAAAGTTAAGCATGAGTTGGAATTCCTTTGTACCCAGGGAACACACAAGGATGCTGGGCATTTTGTATGTCCTGTGTTTTCTACATGTGGGATGTGATCTGTTTAAATATATGCATGTAACTACAAGCCTGTATGCTTCCAGTTCTCCATGTGTTCTCTTGAATTTAAGCCTCAGCTGCTATTGAAAGGGAAGTTTCTACTCTGGAAAGAGAAACTATTCATAAAGGGATCCAAATAAGCAGAAAAACTCAAGAGAGCTTTGTAGAGACACACTTTTAAAAAAAAAAAAGAACCAAAACACTATTTCTGTGCACATCTATATGACTACATATAATCTTTTAAACACAATTTCTTCCCTACTTTATTTTCTTCTAGCTCTTTTGACAGAAACTATTCACAGCAGAAGGATACATTGAATAAAATATTTTTTCTTATTTTAAACAAAATAAAAGGTAATCTGAAATATATATTTCACAGTCCAAGACCAATAAACTACTGTGAGATATCTACTGGTAAGATGCCTCTGACACGTCTGTGTGAGAGAAAGCAGATTCTACCCCAGACTTGCAGTACCATCAGTCAATGCCATCATTTTTGCCTCCATCTGTTGCTCTGAATATCCATATCTGAGATGGATTAGCTGAGAATTTTCTATCATTATAACAGTCACTCCTTCAGTGTCCCAGCATGTGTCACTCCCTCGTGCAGTGGGGAAGGAGGAGGCAGGTGACTCCCTGTTCTGAGGAACTAATGCAATCGAAGTAGAACCTTTGTGCTAAATGCAAATCACTCCCAGGAAAGACAAATCCAGTCACCTCTGAGGAATTGTTTCAGCTCAGGAGAGAGCTGGTGGCAATATTGCATGGCTACACATCACCTGGGAAAGGCCAGAAAGGTGTTCCTTCAGCAGGCTGACAGTGTGCTGCTCACCCTCGGTATCCTCCAGTTCCCTGCCCTGCTGGGCTGTGGGATTTTAGGAAAAGGATTTAGTCTCTGCCTCCCGCAGTTCTGCAGCAGCTGAGAAATGTCACCTCCCAGCACCTCGGGGTGCTGCTGGGCATGCACAGAAGTTTGTGGTGGGTTCCACAGACACCACTGACAACACGAACAGCTGCTGGAATAGCTGCCAGCAAAGGTGGCTGATGCCACAGATCGGACACAGATCACCGGGTATTGCCAAAAGCACAAGAGCAAAGGAGAATATGATCTTCAATTTTAATGGCAGTTTCCCTCCTGAGGGACTATGGGATAAATTTGAAGGTGTAAGATCAATTTTAGGACTAAATATGGAGCCCTCTGGGGTGCCAGAGTGTGTAACCACTATCTCTGAGAGCTCATTTTGGACCACACCACATGGGTCTGCCACCTGCCATCTTCCAAAATCCTTCCCAGCCGCTGAGCCCTCTACAATAAAGTAATGAAAATTATGCACCTTGAAGTACCAATGTGCACATTAAAAATCAGCTGATCAAAGTAGAATCTAGGACAAAAAATAATGTTTCCCTTCTTAAAAAAAAATTATTCCGGGAAACCGTATGGCTCAGGGGGTTGGTATTGGGATACAGAGCCTTTCATCGCTGGTCCAAACATGACCCAAGTCAGTAGTGACCAAAAAAATGGTTACCATTTGGCAGATGCTTTGTGGCCTAGAGTATTTGAAATGAGCTGATGGTCTTAATCCAGTTCCCAGTGGACGACTATCCACATCACAGAAACCACCACCACAATTGGCACCCTCTTTGGCAGCCCTGGCAGGTTGGCCAAGGATTAAATAAGTACAGAGACTGAGCCACCCGCTTCTGCCTAGCTAGAGGTTGCCCCTCTAGGTCATGGATGAGACACAGGGATGGGGTGGAGTGGGGAAGCTCACACACCCTCTGCCTGTGCTCTGCTGGTTTTGTGGGTAAGGAGAGGAATTCATTTTCCAGGGCTGTGATTCAGGCACCCTTCGTAAGCAGCATATTCGTGTACATGCATTTAATGTAAGAAGGAGACAGAAACTGAGAGAATTTCAGGATTTATTCTCAAAAAAATAAGATGCCAGATTAATTTCTGGGAATTCATCAAAGTCAGGGTAATTGTGCCTGGGCTGCACTTAACAAAGTGCACACAAGCAACCTGTAGAGCAGCTCTACTTCAAGAAACATTCCTTTTGCTGTGCTATGTTATCAGTCATCACTTTAATTATCTCACAAGATGTCTTAGAGTGAACCTAATCTGTGCCAGCTATTGTCAGAAAGCTAAAGCTGATTTCTAGTTAGGTATACAATGGCAACTACCACGTAAGCAAAGATCTGATACACATCAAAAACTCCTATTTGGGCAATATGAAGAAAAGCAGGGCTTTTGTCAGTGCTGAAAGGGGTTTTCATTTTTAGAGAGGTAGAATACATCGTTCCTTCTTTCTAATAAACAGCACTCCCCTAACAAAATATTGTGAGCTAAACCCTGCAGTTATTCAGGCAATGTTAGGGTGGAGCCAAAGTTTAAAGTGGAACTTTGGGCAGCACCTGGGCTGGCTGTGAGAAGGGCAAATGGCACAAGCTTTGCACGTGCTTGCTTGTGTGAAGGCACAGAGGGATCTTGCCCTGCTTGCAGATCCGGCAGGCAACGCTGGAAGAATTTTCCTGCACACAGGCAGGAAAGGCTTCCCCAAAGTCACAGTAAGATTTTGGCAGAACCTCAAGCCCCTTCTGAGCTGTTTCATTTCATGCCTCTTACAGCAGTGCAGCAAACATGGCAAGCAATGAGAGCTGTGCCCAAGGAAAGTCATGGGGAACAAACTCTGCAACTCACTGGAGGCCCCCCTTTCCTATTCACCTCCATGACAGCCAGGGCACCTCAGTGTCTGCTGGACCTTGTTGCACCAAGTCTTTCATAAGAAGGGGTGAATATCTGACTGGCATTTTTCACTATTAGACTGATTTAACACCACCTTCCACACTGACAGCAAGGCTGCAGTGCAAGGCAGCCTGGGACAGTAAGGCATCTTCAACCTATGGAAAGGAACTGTCATGTGATCTCTCCTGCAGCATAGCCCTCTATGTGTGAGTTTTTAAAGCACTTCTTGCAAAATAGAAATCCCAGGAAGCAAAAGTGGCAACCTGCTAAAAGGTTCCTCATCTGTGATACCCAAAATGGAGCACCTCATCTAAGGGAGCGATTTCATTATTTACACCTGAGTTAATGCTCAGATCAGTGGCTTTGCAGCAAGGGAAGGCCCAGATTTGGCAATAAGCAGAGATCAAGGTGCTGAGAAGTAGGATCTCTTCCCTGTTGGCTGGAGGAACACCACTCAGCCGAGGCCACTGCCTGACCCTGGACATCCACATGCTCCTGCCATGCCAACACATGTTAGATGTGAAGAGCACCTTAATAGAAGTACTTGACCCAAACTGAACAAATTTCCTAATTGCAGTAAGGCAACACTTGAGGGTGTGGTTACCACAGAAATCACACCCATGGACAGATCAGGAGCACCTGGCTGCACCTCATGCCTCCTAATGTCCCAGGGGCACAATTATCTCATCAGGTGCCAGCTGCCAAGTCCTGTTGCTGGGGAATTGGCTTCACAGGCTGTGCAGCTGGGGTGGGGACAGCAGAGGAGCACGGAGGGCCAGGCACACATGCTCCTCTCGGGTGCATTCCTTCAAAGTGAGTATTTACACCGGGAGGGTGCCCAGATTCTGCTCAGAAGCATGTCTGTGTCTGGGGGTTCCAAAGCAAGGAGCAAGCTGGTATTGCTGAGCCCTGTCCAGCACCCCACACCCTCTGCACAGCTTGCATTCTGTGTTACTGCTTCATGCACATCCCTGAACTTGCTGCTCTCCAGCCACTCAGTGCAGCCTGCAAGAGTCCCAAACAGATGGACGAGCCTGGAATATTGCTTGACTGGCAATTTTCAGAATGTTTTGCCCTTTTTCTCCAAAAAGAGGATAAGGCCAAAGTGAGACAGAGGCTTTACATCTTGCAAAGTGCTCTGCCCATGAGAACAGCAGACTGACATCCCAGTGCCCGGCACACATTGGGCTGAGGTTGTGCCATGCATGTCGCCTCAGCAGGCAGGTCCTTCTCTCCCCTGTTCTCCTTCTTCCCCAGGTCAGGGGTGAAGCCTGACCTCCACACAGCAATTAATGGATCAGGGCCCAGCAAGACAAGCCAGACCAAACCTCTGCCTCTGCCAGGGCAGTTGAGTTCTCTGGAACAAGGAAGATCATAAAACACCAGACAAAGCTCTGTGCCTAGAGGTAAGTTACTCTTGGTTGAAAGGATCTGTCTGGGGGACAAACTTTCAGAGATTAGCCTAATCCAGAGTCTGATGACCTTTAGGTCACAGTGCAAGAACTTCCTCTTTGATACATCTTTTACACCATAACCAGAGTGACATTAACAACAATAACCTGACCCCATCCCTCCCCTCAGAAGCACCTATGCTGGGCAGAGCTCCCCAGAGACAGAGAAAGCAGAGGAACAAAAGACTCCAGGAAGCCTACTAGGGATGTGCCAATCTAATTATTATGGGCAGTGCTCAGATACTGTGATAAGAGGTGCCAATAAAAAAAAACAAACAACAAAAACAACCAAAAACTGTAAAGCTGGTTGATGTACCCTTTAGGCCATGGGAGTGGAGAAAAAGGAATTTACTGTGAATCAGATGACACCATATTTATTTGCACTCCCACCCTCAGCCTTCTTGATAGCGTCCAAGTCCGCTGGGTTTGACGCTATCCTGACGAATTTAGCAGTAGTCCAGAGCAGCAGGGAAGAGATTTAAGCCCCATCCTTTGCTCCTTGCTCACTGTGCTGTACAGCAGTGCTCTTCTCCATCCAGCAAAATCCTCCTCTTCCTTAAGGCTCAGCACAACAGGTCTGATTCAGGAATGTTCCCCTTCCTCTTCATTCCCCTTGAATTTCTCACCCTGAGTCATCCGACTACAATGTAACTTTAATGTGGAAAGTTTTGTGGGTACGTTTTGTTTTCTTTTAACTTCTGAAAAGAAAAGGTACAACCAGAGGGGGGAAAAAAAGTGTCTCATGGTTGAGAGGACTCTTTTAACCAAAGAGTCACATGGCTCCCTGGCGAGCAGCCAGAGGAGTCATGAGAGATGTGGCTGTTCCCTTAACCATGTCCTGCCTGCCGGCAGCCCCTGGCACCCCGGGCCGGCTCTGGTGCCAAGCCTGGCTCCCACGGGAAGGCTCCTGCGGCAGGAGAGGGCTCTGTCGGAAGTGACCTCGGGACGTGGGTCAGCAGCAGTTTCCCCCGAGCTGTCCCCGAGGCCACGCCGGACGTGGTGCTGAAGCAGGGGATGGCGAAGCCACGTCTCAGGTGCGACACAATCACACCATCTGTGCTGCCTGTGGTCACAAAGAGTCCCTGAAAGTGATGATGTGGCACTTACACCACGTTTTCTCTTTCCAAAGTGCTGTGGCAGCTTTTGCTCTCCTGCCCCTCCCCTCCCTTCAAGCCTTGCCAGCGCTGTTATTGCCCCATTAAAGCTGTGGGAAACCGAGGCAGGCAGCACTCATGATGCTGCTGTTCAGCATCTTGGGCACTGGGCCAGTCTCAGACCTTTCCTGTGTTCACCACAGAGCAAAACCCACCATGAAATAGTGCAATCTTTAGAGGGGCTGGCACTGGCCAGGGTCCAGATCAACTAGAGATGTGCTTGGGCTTTTTGAGATGCTTTCCTGCCTTGCTGCCAGGGATGTCGGGACTGGTGCTGGTCCTGCATGTCCACACAGCTCTGCTGGGCACAGGGCACCACACAGCAGCTGCTGCATTCCACCCAGCACTGAGGGAAACGATCCTTGCCCAATTCACTTCTATACTGGTAGGATTAATTCACTTATGATCCTTGCATGAAAGAAACTATTATTAAATGGTAGTCACATTTCATAATTATGTCTCACTTCAGCCAGATTAGGAGGGTGGATATGATATCCAGTCCCAGTACTGCAGCACTTGAGAATTTTAAATTAAATACATCTCCCTGTGTTTTCCAGGCCCTGCTTGAAGGCAGACAGATCTTTCTGGCTCATGCTCAGTTCCAGCTTTGAAAGCTGGGTTGCCCTGCAATGCCTTGCATGTAACAGCAAATGCTGCGGGGCTTTTGAAGTGCTTCTCCCCTTAAAAAAATAAATAATGTTTTGGCTTTATGTCTGCTCTTGCTGGTTCCACAGGCCATGATTCTTTCAATGGCCATAGAACCGATTTTGGGTTGTGTCTGACATGGCCTCCTGTTAATATTGCTTTTGCTGTGTGTTCTTGAGAACTATGGTCACACTCCCTATAAATTGCATAAAATGGCAGCCTGTGCCAAGGCTGTATTCAAATGGATACTGGAAGAACGAGGCTTGTGCTGACTTTCTGTTTGATTCTCCTCCTGCTTGCGCCAGAGTCACTCTGTTGGCTGTGGCAGAGCCGCTCCTGCTTTATCAGTTTGCTGAGCTGTGGATGTGACCCCAGGGGAGAGAAGCCTCAGGCCCTCAGTACTGAAAAGACAAGGTATAAGAGCTTCCCAAAGTGCTGCACAGATCTGAGCAGTGGCCATCCAGGAGGAAATGATTCTGAATGCCTTTGTTGTGCACTCCAAGTCCGTGCCAGTGGAAGGATGCAACTCATCAGCGCTGCCCTCGCACCACCCATCTGCCAGGAGAGCCCACCGAGTCCCACCAGCTGGGAAAGTGCTGCCACTGATGAGCAACAGGGAGTCTCTGCTTCAAATAAAGCATTTGGGACACACAGGGACCAGCGGACTTTGTGCCACTACACAGAGGAAAATTCTTCTGCCGCGTGTCAAACACCTGAGCCTGGATTTGCCCTCACTTGCACACTTGCTATACTGCTGGATGTCCTGCTTTTCACTTTTCAGGAACTTGGGGGGAAATCTGACCTTGGACAAAGAGCTGGAACAAGACTATGTCACCATGATGATTAAGTGGGATTTTTGCATAAATATGAATTTTATCCTTTGTTGAGGGAAATCTGATCCACAAGCACAGGCTGGAAAGAAAATAAATGTTCAGAACTGTGACTGCAGCACGGGTATAAACTGTTTGCACTATTAAAATCATTTCCAGAGAAAAAATACAGTAACTCTCTGATTTAGCCTGTCTTGAAATTTTCTAAAGATATGATTTGCTGTAAAATAATTAATAGGTGATAATCATCCTGCTGTCATATCCTAGTAGTATAAAGATGTTTTTATGATGAGAGCAACTATTTGGCCTCATCTACCTTAACTTCAGAAAAGCTGCCTGTACTCCCTTAGAACTGAACAAGGCAGTTAACTTTCAGCTCCATTGTACTATCCAGAAAAGTGACTTTTAGAAAGAAAGAAAGGAGACAACTTTTTTGTAAAAGGTTCCATTATCATGCATGTTATCATGCATATTAGCATGTTATCTAATGATTTTTCCTAACATCATTTAGGCAGTAACAGGAGGAAAAAATTATAGAAATGTGTTGCATATGGACAGAAAAACCTACTGAGAAGATATTTAATCTCTGTATCTATAATTTCTTCACATTTTCTCTAGCTGAAGTATTTGCAATGTTCCTCGGGCATGTGTTGTAGCAAAAGCAAATACATAGGAGTTGTCCTGGCAAGAAGTGGAGAGCACGTCCTGTGTAGCTCTCACAATGGAGAGAAAAGATATCCTTTTACCTCTGGAGAAGGATTGAAGAGAGAGTAAAAGAGAAAGAAAGGGTGCTAATAACCCTTAAAAGACTGAAAGACATTGCCCAGGAACCTGCCTTCCCTGGAGTCTCTTCCAGAGCATGCCTATGCCTATGCTCCTGGACTTCCTCAGCCTCCCACATCATTCTGGACTTGTAAGCCTGGAGCTTTCAGCAATGAGTTTGTTCAGCTCATGGACAGGGTATTCATATGTGCATGGCACCATCCCAGAACACAGGAGTCATGGAGGTTCTCATGGAGAGAGGCCTGGCTGGTTCTCATACAACTCTTACATCGAGCACTTGTGTTACACTGTCAGTTCTGTGCCTGGGGCAGGTTGGGGTGATGCTCTACAGGAGGGCAGTGCAGCATCAAGGAGGAAAGAGCAAATACAACGAGGAGAACCAAGCAGACAGGTGAACCTGGAGTTGCAAAGGGCCATCTGGCAGGTAGTTAGCAGCTGGAGATGCTTTGCCAGCAGGCATGAAAGGCACTGGTAAGAGTCCACTGAGGGTAAAACAATGTACAGAGGTTCTGGGCTGAAGAAACTGGGCTTGCAACAACAACCAGTTCTGTAACACATGGTGTCAGCACCTCTCCAGAGCTCCTTTGATCTATAGCTGGTCCCAGCTTTCTGTTGCTTGTGGTTACTTGGGAGGACTAGAGGGTTAAAGAGGCTCTCTGACAGCATTTCAGCCCAAATTACACAGTCCCTGCACTGAGGACACACGTTCTACCTGCAGCAGGACACAGTGCCAGGTACACACAGGGCACTGCACCACTGCATGAGGGGTGCCTGTCAGTATAACTATGCAATTGCAATCACTTTGTTTAGCATTTTAACACCTCCTTTGAAATGTTGTCTTCTGAGGGATTAGCCTTGTTGGGCGTTTAATATGCAAACATAACTGCATTTAATCTTACCTGCTCATCTAAATATTTCATGTTGCTTTATACCCACTATTATGTTGGTAATGCAACATATGTAATAATTCCACGCTGTCATCCTACAAATTCTGGATGCTGCCACCTTTCCTTATCATTACTTAAGTCATTGTTTTTTTCAATTTCAAGGTGTGCTAAACATCTAACTCCCAGAACTAATTGCCACAAAGGATTGAGAGAATTGCCTTCATCCAAATGCATTTGGATTCAAGGATGTTCAGAACTCGAGTGCTTGGTGGAGACCTTGGCATGGAGGAGAGTAGCCAGCCACAGATTTACCAGAGCTCTGTGGTTTTAGACACAGAATTTTATTCTGGGTCTCTCAGTGAAATGATGGACTTTCTCTTCTAGAGCTACCAAGAAATCATGTCACACTCTCCCATCTTTCTTAGCTCCTTCAGTACAGGGAAATAGCCTGTACCAGACAGGCATGCCAAGCTCACAGTGCTTATGGCAGCCCAGAGTCAAAATCCCCTTTACCTTTCTCATTTCTGCTCATTTCTCATTTTAGCTAATGCTAAAGCTAGCTTTAGGTGATCCAGAAGATAGTTGATACCCTCTGGAGATTCACCTGTTCTGTCTATAAGCCAACACATCTCTGGGGGATGGTGAAGTGGAATTCCAAATCCCCTTATAGAGGACTATTATTACAGTACCATGTAAAAGGACAATCTGAGGATCTCAGCTCTCTTCAGGCATAAGACACTGCACAAATAGAGGCTAAGGGAGCAAGCTTGCCCTGAAGTCTCAGTTATAACATGAACAAGGTGCAAAAGCAGGGAAATGATGGATTTACACCACAGCCCAGTAACTGAGCCAGAGACAATCCTGTTCCCATAACAGCCTTAATCACAGAGGTTGATCCTGCCCTGATCTGACCAGGATGGGAAGAGGGGGCATCCCGACTGTCCCAGCTGGCAGGGAGGCATTGCTGGCATCACTGGTGAGGCTGTGCCCCCTGTCCCCTCCAGGCTGTGCCCCCCAGGGCACACGGGCTGCCCTCTGCCTGCGCTGCTCCCTCCCTCCCTGCACACATTGAGAGACAAACTCCAGGGACTCTGTCCAGCAGTCCTTCAGGGAATCTTTAGGGCAATCTTTAGGCATGAGCAGTTTCCTGCAGGCATAGGAAAAATATACATTCCTTCTAACCCACCTCCCACAAGCGTGGAGAAGCCATGTTGTAAAGGGTATGGGAGCACCAGCAGAACAGATGCAAGATGTGCAGAGGATTTTTATCCCCCTACATTTCCTAACCAGGCAGTAATATCTACTCACCAATATAAATTATTTGTTGTATTATAGTGTTAGAAGAGGAATCCGCTTTGAAGATTTGTGCTGCTATTCCTACATACACACGCTCTCTTAGGAGTTATTCCCAATCACTTTATAGCAAATAACTGAATTAGCTGTCTATGTACCAGCAGATAATCCCCCAAATAAGCCTCTTAAGAACCGATTGTCATGTTGCTGGTGAATGCATCCAGCCCCAAAGAACATGAACAGCGAGAGGGGTACACAAATGGAAAATGGACAAGCACCATTGCATTTAGAAGCAGCCAAATATGTGTGTGTGTGCAGACACATGCACACTTCAACGTGCATTGCAAGAAATGGTGTCACTATTACTTATAATCCTCGGGTTTAGGCATTTATACTAACTGCATTGATATTATTAAATGGTAGATCTGTACTTTAAATATTTAATTGGATTACCAAAATATGTCCAGTGCATTAAAAGGCATCAATCATCCCACTACCAGCTGTTCGAGCCACAGTGAGTTTCCTTTTTCCCAAAGTCAGGCACTAATTGCTTCTGGTTGTAAAAATGTTTACAGTGCCCCAGCGGGCCAGAGGTTAGCAGGCAAGCACCCCGAAGAAGATGACTTTATCAGATAGTACATTTACAATATAGAAACCGATTTTATAAAGGAGATGGTTCTTTAAAATAATTTTGGATGTAGTCTACCGTAACTTAACTTTCTTCACAGCTATTGCACACAAAGCACTGAGGCCCCGATGCCTTCTTCATTTCAGCATTGCTTTTTCCATTCTTATAATCCCATTTCATCACGATGGGATTTTTGCTCTACAGGTTTTTGTGGTAGAATAACCGGGCGCGACTGAGCACGGACACCCCGCACTCCATTTGCTCGCCCGCTGCATCTCAGAGTAGTTACGTCTTTATCCCCGAAGGAGCGGCGATGCAGAAGCCGAGGAGTCACTCCCATAGCCAAACGATGATAGAGATCTCGGGGGAAAATTAACATAACCATTGACAGTCCCTGAGAGCTCACTAAACAGCAGCTTGGGAGGCATCCTCCCCTCCGGAGGGCGAGGGTAGCAGGAACAGACACCGGCAGATAATGCTCGAACAGGCTCTACTACGCTTTAATCTTCAAAAGCTACCATTAGTAAGCCAGAGAAGTATATTTACCCACCAGATAAACACCACAAATGCTCTCCACTGAGCACTGAAATAACTCCTCTGCCCTTTCGCTTCCCAAGGGGAGCGAGGTGCAACATCGCAGCCCGCGCGGCTCTGCCGCCGCTGCCCCGCTCCGGGGGCCGTGGGGGACACAACGAGCGGGGCCGGGGATGACACGGCGGGGGAACGGGCCCGGGGATGACACGGCGGGGGAACGGGGCCGGGGATGACACGGCGGGGGAACGGGGCCGGGGATGACACGGCGGGGGAACGGG